GGTCAAAAGGAATTTCTATTTCTAGGTCCTTGAGGAATCGCCACACTGTCTTCCACAATGGTTGAACTAATTTACACTCCCACCAACAGTGTAAAAGTGTTCCTATTTCTCCACATCCTCTCCAGCATCTGTTGTCTCCAGATTTTTTAATGATCGCCATTCTAACTGGCGTGAGATGGTATCTCAATGTAGTTTTGATTTGCATTTCTCTGATGACCAGTGATGATGAGCATTTTTTCATATGTTTGTTGGCCTCACGTATGTCTTCTTTTGTAAAGCGTCTGTTCATATCCTTTGCCCACTTTTGAATGGGCTTGTTTTTTTCTTGTTAATCTGTTTTAGTTCTTTGTAAATTTTGGATATCAGCCCTTTGTCAGATGGGTAAACTGCAAAAATTTTTTCCCATTCTGCTGGTTGCCGATTCACTCTAATGACTGTTTCTTTTGCTGTGCAGAAGCTGTGGAGTTTGATTAGGTCCCATTTGTCTATTTTGGCTTTTGTTTTTTTTGTATTTTTAGTAGCGATGGAGTTTCACCATGTTGGCCAGGGTGGTCTCAACCTCTTACCCTTGTGATCTGCCCGCCTTGGCTTCCCAAAGGGCTGGGATTACAAGCTTGCTTTCTCTCTCTTCTTTCTTTCTTCTCGCTTTCCTTCTTTCTTTTTCTCTCTTTTTCTTTCTCTCGCTCTCTTTCCCTCCCTCCCTCCCTCCTTCCTTCCTTTTCTCCCTCCTTCCCTCCCTCCCTTGTGTTCTTTTCCCTTCCCTTTCCTTTCCTTCTCCTCCTCCTCTTCTTTTTCTTCCTTCCTTTCTGTTTCTTTCCTCTTTTTCTTTCTCTTTTCTTCTTCTTTAACATAAGTTAATGCTTTTATTTTGCTTTTTATTTTTTGAGAGAGAACCTCACTCTGTCACCCAGGCTAGAGTGCACCGCTGTGATCACGGCTCACTACAGCTTTGAATTCCTGGGCTCAAGCAATCCGTCCATCTCAGCCTTCCAAGTAGCGTACAGGACTGTAGGTCACCATGCCTGGTTAATTTTTAAATTTTTTGTAGACAGGGTCTCAGTCTCACCATGTTGCCAAGGCAGGTCTCAAAGTCCTGGCCTCCCGCGATCCGCTTGCCTCAGCCTCCCGCAGTGCTGGGATTACAGGCGTGAGCACCGAGCTGAGCCCGGGTCTTGGTTTCTGATTCGCCAGCAGACGGAACCAGGCCTACTGGCTGACTCTAGCACTGTGCTCGCTCATTCCAGGACTGGGGCAGAAACTGCGAGTCTGGAGCATTTTGTAGCGCCGGAAAGTAAGAAAGTGTTCAAAACAAGCAAATTAAAAAGCTCCAGAGTTTTGAGGATGTGCTAAAGGCACACAGAGCTGAAAGAAAGGACCCCCAGGACCCCGAGCTGGGACAATCTGAGTCACAAAATAAAGCAGTATTAACTATAACCTAGCATAAAATAAATACCCTTGAGTTCGTACTGATATAAATAAATGAATAAGTAACAATAAATGGAGAAAAGAGACAAGGTTTTAATGTAAAAGCACGACAGATAAATCATGCAGACCCTCCACCCCCAAGGAGGTGGAGTATGGTTGACAAGCCTGAGGTGGGGGCTGTGCACACTGACTTCCTCCCAAAGAGAGCAGTATGGAAAGGGGAGCAAGAGAGTCCCTTTGCAATGAAGAAAGCTGACAAATGACCTCAGCCAGGTGGCCAAGGCCAACATCAGCAGTGCCAAGTCGGCATGACGTGATGAGCAGGACACTGTCCCCGAGCCCAGAGCCCTAATCTCATCGTGAGAAGAGCGCAGCCAGATCTTAGTAGACGGGTGTCCTATAATACGTCGGAAAACGGGGAGAGTGAGAACCCACCCCGGCAGAGAGCAGCTCTGCAGATGGCGTCTGAATGTAAAATGGTGTCCCGGAACAAGGAAAGCAAATTAGGGAAAATTTGAGGAAATCTGAATAAAGTATGGATCTATTGAGTTAATAACTAACGTATTAATATTGGTTTATTAATTGTGACAAATGTACTATACATATTTTAGTCGGCATTCTCTAGAGAAACAGAACCAACGGGATGTGTGTGTGTGTCTGTGTACACACCCACCCACCCCGCACACATGCATGTGTGGAGAGAGAGACAGAGAGAGAGAGACAGAGAGAGAGAGATCTATTTTGAGAAACTGCTCATGTGATTGCAGAGGCTTGGTAAGCCCAGAATCTGATGGGGAAGCCCAGGGGGCTGGAGGCCCTGAGAAGAGCTGACAGCGGAGCCCAGTTCCTTCTTTCTCAGGAGAGGGCTGTCTTTGTTCCCCTAACCCTTCAGCCTACTGGATGAAGCCACCGCATTGTGGAGGGTCATCTGCTTTACTCAAAGTTCACCAATTTAAATGTTAGTATCCCATCCAAAAACACCTTTGCAGAAATATCCAGAACAACGTTTGACCACACGTGCGCACCATGGGCCAGTGAAGCTGACACACAGCACCGACGAAACCGTCAGGGCTGCAGATACTGTGACTGTCGAGACCAGGGTCCCGTCTGGGCAGGTTCCACGAGAAGAGGGCTGGAGTCAAAGCTGAGCTCCCGGAGGGGCGCACACAGGGGCGGCGTGGAGGGGCGCACACAGGGGCGGCGTGGAGGGGCGCACACAGGGGTGGCGTGGAGGGGCGCACACAGGGGTGGCGTGGAGGGGCGCACACAGGGGTGGCGTGGAGGGGCGCACACAGGGGTGGCATGGAGGGGCGCACACAGGGGTGGCGTGGAGGGGCCAGATGACCACACCCTCCACAGGATGTCTTCCCATGAATCCCAAAGCTTCAGTAAATTCTACTAAATCTACAAAGTACTCAATGGAAATGTGGTTTTTTAGATGAAAGGAAGGGGCGAAGTCATAGAATCTGGCTTAATTTTTTGGAAGTGGTCATTCAGTTTTAAACAAAATAGTGTGAAATATCAAAGGTTTTTAAAATTTTTATTTGTATTTATTTTAAGACAGGGTTTCGCCATTTCGGTCAGGCTGGTCTCTAACTCCTGACCTCAGGTGATGCACCCACCTCAGCCTCCCAAAGTTCTGGGATTACAGGCGTGAGCCACTGCGCCCGGCCGGTACTAAACCTGGCTGTGTAACACAATCGTCTGGGGGTTGTTGTAACAGATTGCTAAGCCTACTCCAGTTTCTGTTTCATTTCTAACAAGATGAGGGATGCTGATACTGCTGGTCCAGGAACCACACTTTAAGAACCACTATTTTGCTGGGCGCAGTGGCTCACGCCTGTAATCCCAGCACTTTGGGAGGCCGAGGCGGGTGGATCACGAGGTTAAGTGATCAAGACCATCCTGGTCAACATGGTGAAACCCCGTCTCTACTAAAAAAAATACAAAAAATTAGCTGGGCATGGTGGCGCGTGCTTGTAATCCCAGCTACTCAGGAGGCTGAGGCAGGAGAATTGCCTGAACC